CCAAGTTCCCGAGCCGAGGCAACTTTGGTGATGACGGACACGTGGCCTTAGGCAACGAGTCAGGGTTTCCTAAACTTCCTAAAAATAAAACATTTAGGTGGTGACTCTGTATCTGGCAAAGCAGTCCATGTTTGACACTTCTTTCAAAAAAATCTGTTTTTCAAAACGATTTGCCGGATTTGGACTCTTTGGTGATTTATCAATCTCACATTGCACATTGTGAGATCAGATTAAGAACCGTGACAATTTGAGAGTCTGAACTGCAGTGAGCCCTAATGAACAAAACGGGATTTCCCTCCCGGGACGTTCGGGGACGTCTACAAAGGGTTATCTTTTTTGGGAATTAGAGTAATAAATGAACTGTTCACTCCTCGAGCCAATTTACCATTAGAATGGAATTCATGCATAAGCTGCACTACCTCCATTTTCATTATATTCCAGCATTTTTGGATGCAAGATAAATTAAACCCATCAGGCCCCGAAGCTTTACTACCATCACAATCATTGACTGCTTCCCAAATTTCCTCCTCTGAAAACTCTGCCTCTAACAATTCTAATTCTGTAGGACTAATTGAGACAAATGCACCTGACAGTTTTGGCATAATCTTCCAATCATCAGAAAAACAGTTGGCTGAAATATCTCACCATTGCTTGTTTCATAACACTTGGCTGATCATAGATGACACCATTTTCTTTTACAGAATCCAGCAAAATTTTCCTCTGCCTGCTACTAGCCAAGCTATGAAAGAACCTTGTATTTTTGTCCCCATTGGCTGCCCATGTCAGTCTGGATTTGTGATGCCATAACCACTCCTTCTTTTTGTTTAGCTCCCAGACTAGCCTTCTAACCTCCCTTTTCCTTTTGACCTCATGTTCCTGCAGGTTCCTACCTTCAGTCTTAATATCCCAGTCATGAAGTTTAGCCTCGGCATGTTTCAATTGCTCATCAATGTTTCCAAACACTTTGCGATTCCACCTTCTGAGATGTACTCTGAGATTCCCCGCTTTTTTAATATCATGTAACCAGCCCATCCACTGATCTGATTGTTCTCTCAAGACTTCCTCACTTCAAATTTAAATTTAGGATGCAAGCACCAAGCATTTATGAATCTAAATGACCTTGGTCCCCAATCCCTTTTCATCTTCCATTAATAATATAGGGCAGTGGTCAAACATACTTCTAGCTAGCCCCCACTACTTAAATGAGAACTTTTCCAACCACCTATGGTCAATTAGGAATCTATCAATCCTGCTCGACCTATCCCCAACCAAAGCATTGCACCATGTAAAGGTTCTGCCTATCATTGGGATAGCTAACAACTCCAAATTATCAATCAAATCATTGAAATCCTTCATTCCTCTATCCCTCCTCAAACACCCTTTCCTTTCACCCATAACTCCAACTTCATTAAAATCACCTCCTACAAACCAAGGACTTACAAAAGTATATTTAAGCTTCACTAAAGATACCCATAGCTGCCTTCTTTTCAGTACTTCATTTGAAGTCCATCTCCTCCCATGGCCATAATGACTTAACAAAATTTTCATCAACACTACACCTCTTTGTTTCTTGTAATCAATATCTCTATCCCTAACCAAATTCTTTATTTTCCTCCTCTTTTCAAGCCTTCTTAGACCTCTAACATTCCAAGATAATAACTTCATAAGGAAACTACTAACATACACCAAACCTCCTAGTAACAACCAAATTAGCTTAGGAAGTTGCACCTATGCCTTTCATTCTTTCAAGATCCTTTTCTTCTAGCTTAATTATTTTGTTTACCACCTTCTCCTCCTTGCCTTCACAATTCAGCCCTAAAATTTCCCAACATGAACTGTAGCTTGTGCCTCATTCAACAACTTCCTCATTTTCCTTGAATCTGTACTCTGAGAAACTGAAAATGAGATTGCAGCAGCTGCTGCTCGAAATATAGCTCCCTTTTGAAGACAATTGCTGAACAGCACACCCTTGTTCTTCAGTTACTTTCAGTTTATCTTTCCCCTATTGCTTCATTCCTTATCCTTTGTATTTGTGTATGCCATGTCCTGCTCTTTGCTTACAACATCATCTTTCCTTGACATTTCCTCCTTCCCTGCATTTGCGTTCTCAACCTCCTCACTCCCCTAGCTTTGTTGTTGACAAACACATAGAGTGACAAATGCTGATAAATCTTCACACACACGAATTGGGAAAAACTTACCATGGCATTCAACGTTGATTAGGAATGGCAATGGGGTGGATATTAATTCCCCATCCCCATTCCCCTATAATAAATTTTCTCCATTCCCCATTCCCCATTCCCCATGGGTACCACCCTCCCCATTTTTTAATGGGTATGGATTTTCCCCAACCCACTTTAATCCCCATTTTTAATTTTTATATTTAATGTTAACAACCACTTTTTTTTTTTTTTTTTTTTAAGGTTCACAACAAAAACTAAATATACCTTCAATCTTTTTTCTTTCTTTTTTAATATATTTAATGTTAACAACTTATTTTTTATTTTATTTTTTATTTTTTTAAGGTTCACAACAAAAGCTAAATATACATTCAATCTTATTTTATTTTATTTGGTTCAACAACAAAATCAAATACACATTAATTAATTAATTAAAAAGTTTGTTTTATAATAATCAAATATATAATTTTGAGAAAATCAAAAAGTTTGTTTGAAGAAAGTGTTATAAGACTCATATTAAATTGCATCAGGGCATAAACAAGGAATTGTTAGCCACGGACAATTTAGACATTAAACCATCTTTCTCTTAGCAAATTTAAACAATTCATTTTAATTTATCCAAAATCTAATTATACATTTAACAAATCTGAACCACTCATTTTAAGATATCTATGCATTACCACACCCAATCCATCCTCCATCTTCTTCCTTTAGTCCCCCACGAATTTTGTTGTGAATCTTAAAAATTAAAAAAAAAATGGTTGTGAACCTTAAAAATAAAATAAAAAAAGATTAGAGGTATATTTAGCTTTGGTTGTGAATCTTAAAAATTAAAAAAAAAATGGCCTTACTTCCAGCCGGAACACTGGTACACCTTTCTTCGACGGTGATACATCTCTTTCCGACGTCTCTCTCGTGACCCAGCCATGGTGCTACTTATCACCTCCTCCACTCATCGTCACCGCAGAACGCCACTTCCTCTAGTAATCTCCACCGTCGCCGTTGCCATCTCCACCGCTGCTGTTCATCATCACTACCGCCACTCATCATCGCCATCGCCATGGATGGATTGACATTAGGCTATTGCCATAACAAATGAGAGAGTAAAGGGTTTGTTATTTGATCTAAGAAACGATGAGAGGAGAGAGTATGAGAGATGTGGGTTATGTGTTTCTAACCCTCAAATTGATTTGTTTGGGTTTTTGTTTTTTTTTTTTTTTTTTTTTTTTTTTTTTTTTTTTTTTTTTTTTTGGTGTAAAATGGTGACCGGGGGGAGCCCCGACATGAATAAAATGAGTTTGGTGTGCAGTTCTGCCTCTTTGTTTTTTTTTTTTTTTTTTTTTTTTTTTTTTTTTTTTTTTTTTTTTTTATAAAAAAAAAAAAAAAAAAAAAAAAAAAAAAAAACAAACAAACAAACAAACTAAATATTATCTCTCTTTTTTCATCAATGCTACATTGTGTGGTTTGATAAATTACAAAATACTATTTCATGAACACACCATTTATCGGAATGTGACAATTTCTGCATAGAAGGACCTACCTACTCATGGCCTTCTTTAATTATTTCAAATTTAGTACAACCAAACGACAAATGTCCTATTTAGATGCCATATAAAAAGAGCATAGTGGTAGCATTTGATCCAATTAACTGATGAGTTGTTGCTTTAGAACCTTTTTAGTACAATCCTCTTTTCTTTTTTTTCTTTTTTAAAGAATGGTCAATAGTTTTGCCAATCAAAATTCAACATGGCCACACAAATCACCCCCGCCTCCTTCACCACCACTACTACCATCATCATCACCATCGTTATCATCATCCAAGTTGAATTAAGCCTAAAATGATCAAAACAGCTATTTTATGTCTCCAATATTAAAAGATCTTGGCTTCAATTCTCTTTAGAAAGGGAAAAAAAAATGTATTTCCTATTTGAAAATTCAGAAAAGTTCTTCTTGTTTGGAGTTTAAAAAAAAAAAAAAAAAAAAAAAAAAAAAAAAAAAAAGGTTGTGAACCTAAAAAAATAAATAAATAAATAAAAGAAAAAAGATTGAGTGTATATTTAGTTTTGATTGTGAAAAAAAAAAACATATGGGGAAATTAGTGGATATCCATCCCCAACCCATCCCCTGTGGATATTTAAAGAATATCACCTACCCTACCCAATGGATAAGAAAAAGAGGGGAAAACCCATGTATTTGGGTTGCGTCTCCATGGATATCCACAGGATAGGTTATCCATTGCCATCCCTAACGTTGATCACTGTATTTATGAACTCAAACCCCTTCGTAACAATTCTTACCTTACCATACTGGAAGGAATTGTGATTAAGAATGTTGTCGTCCAACTGAACATCCCCCCATAGTTTACCAATATTTGTGAAAGTGTGGACACTCCACAAGTTAAATGGAACACCCACACAAGAAATCTACACACACCTTTTGTGATTGATATACAGCCTTTTCTCCCAATCAATAATGGATTCATACCAATCAAAAATCCATTCTTCAACAGATAGTCTTCCTTCCTTCACACGTTGCACTGATTTAAATGTTAGTAATGATAACCTTCCACCTCCATCTCTCACTCTTATCTCCTTCATTTCTCTTCTTTCAAACTTCTTCTTAAAATCATTGATTGAAAGAAAGTTCTTCAGCTTCATAATCAGACTTTCATATAGCCAACCATTTCCTGACTCATAAGTCTTGACAACTACTTCCATCTTCTCCTGAAGGCCTCCATTTTGAACAGCTAGCATAAGATTTACCTATAGCCTCCATTTTTTGATGTGCCGAGTTTCTTTGTTGGTACTGTCTCATCATCTCTCATCCTCTACTTCTTATTGTGTGCTGGTTTTGCACTCCCTTGTCATACTCTGTTTTCTGCAGTGCAAAATTCCTTTGTTGGTACTGCCCCATCGTTTGACCTCCTAAGTTCCTCACTGTGGGTTGTTTCTGATCCCCTTTTCTGTATTCTGCATTCTTTACCTTCAGAGCTTTATTGTCACACCATATGCCATCAACCTTTTGCACCGACATGTCCGCTGCAACCTTGCAGTCATACCTTACAAATTCGAACCAGGAGCTCGTTACTTGTCTTCTTTTTGCTGGAATGAAGACGTCCTTAACTATTCCAAACTTACTGAATAAAGTGAACAACCTTTTTGGATCCATAGAGTCAGTTATCTCATCTACAAAGATGGTAAACAACCCATCTACATTCTTAGATCGGCTGCTTTGATTGCCCACTCTTCTTACTCGTCTTCTTCTAAGCACTGGACTCCACCCTCCTCTCTCCATTTTTTCAAGTCTGTTTGCCATCTATTTGTCATTACTTTTTTTTCCTTCAATTACTTATAACAAGTGATGTTTTTAGAGAATAGTTCAACGTATAAACACCTCTTATTCAACAAAATTGAATGAATTTAAAAGATTACTAAAATAAGATGACATTATAAATGGACTTAATGCTTTAATTGACAACCACTTACATATTTATATAGAAAAATAAATAAAATAAAATATGCCCAAAGAATGAACATTTTGCAACTAAAGACCTTTCAAAAACCTTATGACACGGAAAAAATTATTTGGTGTCCTGTGAGCACTACGTAAGCATGTCACAAATCAATGATAAAATGTCACGTTCCCATGTTATCTTTCCAATCATGAACGTGAAGTGTGAATCCTACTATTTTCAGAAATTACAATTGTTTTGAAGTACCACCCGGGCATGTTAATGGGGAATGGAATAAATTAATGTTCCATGACATGGCCTTCTCAAGAAACTTAAAAAGTTTAAATTGAGCAGCCGGGGGCCTTTCAAGAACCATAGACATGGGTTAAAAGTGTAATTTATCCAAAATAATAAATAGAGATTCTTAGAGAGGTTCCATGACCAAGCTAATTTAATCGCTTGCACCAGTTTTTATGATCATGTCCCTCCATATATAATCGTAGGGAAGAAATGACAAGCAGAGACTATTGGTACCTCAAAAGAGAAGTACAAGTGCCAACATAAATCAAAGGAAAAATTACGTCGGTAGTCATTGTTTATATTTTGTCATTTGTGTCATTTTAATTCATGTAATGTTAATTAACTCGATTTTTATCCTTAATTCACTACAAGAAAAAACACTTTTGGCGACCACCTATTTTTTTTGGTCGCAAATAGTCCACTTTCTGCGACTAAAATTTAACTTTTGGCGACCACAATTTTTTGGTCGCGGAAAATCACCTTTTGGCGACCAAAAAAAAAAGTTAGTCGCGGAAAGTATACTATTGGCGACCAAAGGCTTTTTTGGTCGAGGAAGATCACCTTTTGGCGACCAAAAAAAAAGTTGGTCACGGAAAGTATACCCTTTGGCGACCAAAAAAAAAATTTAGTCGCGGAAAGTATACTATTGGCGACCAAAGGTTTTTTTGGTCGCGGAAGATCACCTTTTGGCGACCAAAAAAAAAGTTGGTCACGGAAAGTATACCCTTTGGCGACAAAAAAAAAAAGTTGGTCGCGGAAAGTATGCTATTGGCGACCAAAGGCTTTTTTGGTCGCGGAAGATCACCTTTTGGCGACCAAAAAAAAAGTTGGTCACGGAAAGTATACCCTTTGGCGACAAAAAAAAAAAGTTGGTCGCGGAAAGTATGCTATTGGCGACCAAAGGCTTTTTTGGTCGCGGAAGATTACCCTTTGGCGACTAAAAAAAAAAGTTGGTCGCGGAAAGTATGCTATTGGCGACCAAAGGCTTTTTTGGTCGCGGAAGATTACCCTTTGGCGACTAAAAAAAAAAGTTGGTCGCGGAAAGTATGCTATTGGCGACCAAAGGCTTTTTTGGTCGCGGAAGATTACCCTTTGGCGATGACTTTTGGCGACCAACTTATCTTTGGTCGCTAAAAGTTTACTTTTGGCTAATATGAATTGGACTTTTCGCGACCAAAAAAGTTGGTCACGAATGGTCACTTTTAGCGACCAAAGGCTTTTTTGGTCGCAGAAAACTATCTGTGACGAGGTTTTAGCGACCAACTCGCGACCAACATATTTTGGTCGCGAAAAGGTTTTAGCGACCAAATATGGTACTTTTCGCGACCAAACATGTTCGTCACGGAAAGTGTTTTTTCTAGTAGTGATTTTAGATTTGTATCAATTTAATTCAATTGATAACACCAATTAGGATTTTTGAAAGAAAATACTTAATGAGTTTGTTGAGTTGAGATTAACTTACTAAGTTGAACAAGTTTATAATTTTTTTGTTTTTTGGCATTATTCATCAAAAAAATAACAATTGTAATCAATTAAACTAGATTGCAACAGAATTAAAATTTTGAAACCAAAATGAAGTCAATTAAAAAAATAGAGACCAAAATAAAATAAGAATCAAAATATAAGGACCACCAATATAATTTGCTAGATCAAATATACGTATGAATAAGAGGCCAATTTGTAAACCAATTCAAAAATAATGTACATTACGAGCCTTTATATTATGTTATATAAATAAATAAATAATCTCTACTGCACATGGGACCAAGCTACCAGACTACCAGTTGCATAGAGACAATTATTTTCTAGAAACTTACTTTAATAGATATATTTATTAACTAATAGATTTTATGATAATTAATAATATTTTTATCAAACATGATTAAAAAACATCACTAATTATTAATTTTTAACGGTAGTTTGTAAATTTTGTCATATAAAATGTCACTAATTACAAGTTTTAGCAAAAGTTTTAAAAAATCGTCACAAAAAAAAGGTTTCTAATTTTCAACTTTTAGCAACTGTTTGAAAATTTCATCAAAAAATAAAATAAAAAATAAAAAAAAAAACACCAATCGTAAGTTTTAGTTACAATTTATAAAAATCGTGACAAAAAAAAAGGCACTAATTGTAAAATTTTAGCAATATGTATAAAAAATCGTTACAAAAAATTATTTTAGGGACGATTTTAGTATAATTTATTTTTAATAAAACTTAATGATAATTAAATCCAACTATTAGAATCTATTAATAATTTATCCTTATTCCCATGCCTTGCGTACACAACAAAATTCAACCTCAAAATCAACAATATTTATCAAGATTGACTTATTTTCAGCGTAGATATTATTCACACTCGTCTTCAGAAACACTAACGATTATCACATCTCAAATAAGTGTCTATAAAGAAATTTAAAAATATGTAAAAAGTTTTTAAAAAATTATAAAATTCTTTGAAAAATATATAAATATATTGAATTTTTTTTAAAAAAAAATATTTTTCTCTTCCTATTACAGCTCATTGTGATTTTTTTATTTCTTTTATTTTTGATTTTGATAACTCAATATCTGACTTTTTGATTCGACTACTCCGAAAACAACAATGATATAGAGATCCTCCTTTTTTGGAGACCCCACAACCCCCAAAGTGATCTATACCACTCATGATGTGGGCCCTACACTCCACATCATGAGTAGTGTAAATCACTTTGTGAGTTGTGAGGATTTCAAAAAAAGAGGTCTCATTCATTTTCCATCCGAAAATCACACGTTTTAATGTCAAAATAAAGCCTCCCTACTGCAAATTTCGAAAAATTCACAATCTCAAGAACCAAACTTTAATAATATTATGTCTTCGTTTGGCATGTCAGGTTTTTTGATTTTTTAATTATTTTAGTCACAAAAAGATAAAATAAGTTTTTTAGTCCAATAAGACAAAACATCACATTCAATTCATAATTATTTTTTTTTTTTTCTCACAAAAGTCAAAAAAGCCAAAAACACATATCCCGAACAGGCTTTTTAGTACCAAACTAAAATAGTCAAAAAAATTAAAAAGTCAACTCATATCCCAAATGAACCCAAATTATGTCAAAGTTTTCTAAACATTAAATGCAAACATGTATGGATTGGCTTCATTTTTTCAGGCAAAGCAAAGCCCAAAGCCGTCATTGCTTCCTATCTATTAGTACACAACTCAAAAAACAAAGAAAAGGAAAAAGAAAAAGAAAATATGGAGAAGACTGCTCAAGATAGTTTTCTTGGTCATCCTTGTGGTTACTGTACCTGGTTACTATCTTTTCATATCTATTCAAATAATCCTTATGTATACACTTTAATAATATGTTAAAAAACAAATTGATTAATTATTGAATTTTTTTTAACAGGTTGGCCTATGTCAAAGGTGTTAGTAGCCGAAGCAAGAGTGCCGGAGGGATGTTCTACTTCAAATGACTGTGATGGCTTATGTGGAGGGAGCGGCGACTGTGCCACTGGCATCTGCACATTCATAGGGATGCAGAAACAGCGTGTCGTCGAAGCCGTCCCCAATTTAAGTTGTTCCAATGACACAGACTGTCAAATGCGTTGTTCACCTGTTTGCTACTCCAAAATATGTGCTGAGGGAATGTGCCAATGTGTGTGTATTGATTGAGAAGAGTATGGATGATAAATTATTGTGGAACAAAAATAAAGTTAATTGAGAAAAAGTTCAATCATATAGGTTATATGTTATTTGGTCTAAGGTTTTATATTTTTTAGTGATAGAAATATGCATTGAAAAGTCATAGTGCCAAAAAGTTGCTGGTGATGATGAGGTGAATAGATATGTGATGTATATATATGTAAATAAAATTTAAACCGGTAAGTGACACGTGTATAAATAGATGACATTTTGAACAAATAAGTACATTTTGTCCTTTTGGACACAATATCATTTTGATCCGGGAAGAAATATCAGAATTGAACCTAAAGTGTCCATAAAAATATTGCTTGCAGTTATATCGTTTTGTACCTTACAATGATAAACTTATTTGTAATTGTACGCGTGTAAACTAAAATTGAATAATTTTTACACATAAATTCAAGCTAAATAAAAATCAAGGGAATATGTTTAAAGATTTTTTTGCCTGAATGAAAAGGACTTTTAAATGTGAAAATAAGAACCAATTAGAGAGTATAAGTATGCAATAACTAAAGAATAAGACAAATGTAATCGATCACTAAACTACTTCAAGTACAATGAGAGAATTTGAAGTTACGTCACATTGACTCCTACTTCAGTAATTATTTTTTTTAATTTTTAATTTTTAATTTTTTTTTAATGTGGTACTCCTATGAAATGGTAGGACAAGGCAGTAATGAAAAGATAAAGAAATATGCTTTGATGTGGTTTGGTCTGGGGTTTTTATTTTCGGTTGAACTATTATTTATAGATGTAACAATACATTGTTGTAGATTGGCTCAAATTTTCAACGATGGCTGCTGATTGAAGAAAAAAAAATGAAGAAGTTAGACATTTTCATCCGAGTTACTCATGGTAGGG